AAACTAGCTTTGGAGAAGAATCTAGACAACTTTTCTCTGTACACAGATAGAGTTGTTGCAGAATTTTTAAAAGTCTAAATTTACAAACATTTTTGACAAAAATTTGATAAATATTTTGAATTTACAAATTCACAAGTAGTTATTGACACTAAAAGTAGGCGGTAGTCATTTAGGGACCCTTTTCAGAGGTGTCAAACTCCTAGCAAAACTCTCCAGGTAAGGCAGGAAGGAGATTAAAATAACTGACAAATGTTTAACAAATTAAATAAAAATACAAAGCAACACAAATATGGTTTTCTAAGCCACCATATGGCCTGCAGGTACCTGTTTCTGTTTGAGTTTGACACCACTGCTTTAGACAACTCATATCTAGCATCTAATATCTTGGAACCTCTTCCTAGCAACGTTCTCTAATGCCTCACCACAGCCTCATCTCTACAGCTTAGCCAGGTGATGAGACAGAAATGGAAACAGGTTGTTTCAAATACTTTCTGTCAAGTATTATCATCTCGGTGGTTTCTAGAAGTGAGAGAATGCCACAGAAGAACAAGAGGCAGTGTGGTATCACTGGGAAGAACACTGAACTTGGGGTCAGAAGGCCTGCACTGAAGCCCAGTTCTTTCACTTATTAGCTCGGGACTTCGGACACACAAACATGGTAGGAACACCGGACCTATGAAGTTTCCTCATCTCTAGGACATGAAGATTGGAATCGGATGATGCCTATGCTACTATCTTCTAGCTCTTACAGCCTCCTGACTCCTAGGCCATTGTACTTTGCATTCCATCATGCTGCTCCTACATAGTGTTATGCATAGAAATCAGTACCTAGCTCTATCACATGAATCAGGTTGAAAAATACAGATAACACTGACAACCTGGCAACTGTGTATTCAGAGACCTGGGCTAGGGACATTGGTTCTGCATTGATAGCTTATGGGAAATGCACTGTGAAAGAGAGGATGAGGGAGGTAACAACAAAGATATTAAAAGTATGTGAAAATTCTGGACCTTTAGGTCTTTCCATTCCTAAAGAACCAATACTATCATTGAGAGGTGAAAAGCATTTGTTATATGCTTCAGTCACAAATATTTGGGGTTCAGGTAAGGCCAAATTTACAAAACCATAACAGTAAACAAGTGGTCAACTATATTCCTAAACCCAGATCTTCTCAAGACATAGGAAGTGGATAGTCCATATTTAGCCACTCATCAAATCAGTCTGTAATTTTGTATTCCTTCCCCAAATGGACATTTAGCATTTGGATACTGCTTAGTGGAAGGAACATTCAAATCAAGAGACAGAGTTTAATTCCCAACTCTGATAATTAATAGTTATGTGACCTTGAACAAGCAACCTTCCAGCCTGTTTCTTAATTTATAAAATGGGAATAGGAATGCTGATATTACTTACTTTATGGGTTTATTATGAGGAAAGAAATTTTTAATCTTAACATGGGATATAAATATGAGTTATTGCTAAGGAGGTATGTACTCCCTGCTCTTGGGGAGGCTGAGGCCAGCAGATGACTTGAGTTTTGGAGTTCCGAGTTGCAATAGAGGTAAAGCTAACTGTACTCACTCAAACACCAACATGCCAACATGGTGAGCTGCCAGGACAGGAAGGCTAACAGGCTGCCTAAGGAGGAGGTGAACTGGCCCAGGTTGGAAAAACCGAATAGGCCAAAGCTTCTTTGCTGACCAGCAGTGGGACTGAGCCACGAATGGCCAATTTCACTTCTAGCCTGAGCAAGATTGGGAGAACCAGTCTTGGAAAATAAGACAATTTCAAAATGAATAAACACATAAATAAATGAATGGGTAGGGAAAGAAGAACGAATAAATAAATATGAGCTATCATTACTATTGCTGTTGCTTCAGTACTTCAAAGGATTCATGATTTCATCAACGTAGGTATTTCATCCACTAGTACAGATTGCAACTTGTCCTTTCTTACTACATTTGGTCTTATGATGAAGCCACCAACGCCAACTCCTTTGTTTGCCTCTGTAAGGAGAAGCTCTGAACCACCCTTCTGTTTTGTTGTGACTTCCCTTTGTCTTCTACTTTAATTTATAGTGGGAATGTCAATACTGATAAGGTTCAGTTCTTCCTGTGATGTCAATTTTCTGGATTGCGGGGCAAATGTCTCACATTTATAGTACTGACACTTAATATTTCAGACCTCTATAAACATTGTGATTCTTAACATCCTTTTGCTCCCTTTCCTGATATTATACCACTGTCACTATAAAGGTGGAAGGGTGACATATAGGATTGAAGGCCATTTTATTCTGTTTCTTAAATCATGATGGCCAAAGGATTCACCTCCTCATGGCCAACCTTCTTATTGGTAAAGAAAGTCTCCATCCTTGGGTTGGTTCTCAGATAGTAGATTATCACTGGAATTGTCATCTTGGCATTTATCTTGGTCTCCTCACTCTCCCTCATTTAACATACTCAATCAGTTGCCAAATCTTGCTATTTTAACTACGCAATTTTCTACATCTAACTCTTCTCGCCATTCATACAGCTCCTCCTCAGTTCAAGTGCTCCTTGCCCCTTGCTTAGATTATTGCAGCATCCTCCAATTTGGTCTCCATACCTCAAGTCTCTCGCCACCCTAATTAATCTTATGAACTACTACTAATGTAATATTTCTTAAGCACAGATATGACAAAGTATCTTCTTTAATCAATCAACTCCAGGGGTTTCTTATTACCTCTAGGATAAAACACAAACTCCCCATTGAGTACTAAAAGCTATACCCAACTTGGCCCCAACATATCTGTACAGTAACACTAATCCTTCCTACCCTCTCTGTGATCCAGTCAAACTGAATCTGTTTTTCTGTTCTTCATATACCCTGTCTCCTGTCTCCAGGCCTTTGCACTGTCTGTCCCACACACCTGGAACATACTTTTTCCTTACCTCAGCCTCATGGAGATCCTCTCTCTTCCTTTAAGACACAACTCAAGTACCATCTTCTGCATGAAGCCTTTCCTGATCCCCTTAACTGCTGTTACCCTTCCTCTCAAACCACCTTGTATTTATTTTCATTACATTTATTCTGTATGAATTTATGAATATATATACATACATACAATACATACATACATACATACACACATACACGTCTCCTTTTTGAATGGAAGCTCCTTGACAGCAGGGGCTGTTTCATTTCTTTCTTGCCCCCTAGTACATAGTGCTTACTTCATAAATGCTTGTGGACTGATTGGAACCACGTACAAAGCCCTCCTAGTTGGGATAAATTGCCAGTGTGATCATCCTTGTACTATGGAGAACCCAGGGTCATCTTGGTCATGAGGGATCAGAGCAGGATTTTGTGGAGAACTGCTGAAATTCTCTGTAGGCTGGGTGGTAAGGGAATACTATGAATCCTGTTTTGGCCAGCAAATACAGGTAAGTCTGTCCCATTTGGCAATGGAATGTGTGCTTTCTAGTCTCATCATTACCTCTTGAAACATCTTGGAAAATCAGCTTCTCCCAACTCTAAGGAATGCTCACATTGTGCAGGTAGAACTGACTGATAGATTATTTCAAGGAGCTATAATTTCACTGGTGTCCATGTTCTCTCTACTGAGATAGATGACAACCCTCCCACAACTTTTAACCAATCAGAGTAAAAAGCTGCTATGAACTGAACAATTCCTCGGGACATGGCCTGGTAATAATAATCCTTCCCAAAGGCAGTGAGGTTGGTCCTTAGGCACATTCTCAAATCTTTTTCAGTTTGGCAGGTCACCAAAATCTGTGCTCTGCTCGTGTAGCCTTGAATTGCTCAGGGCCTCCCTCATGCCATGGGGAGGAATTGGAGAAGAGTTTTAAACAGACCAGAAAAGGCAGTTGTCATTCGTACTACTGATGTAAAGGAATACTGTAAATATTAAAGAGAAGATGGATGGACTAGTACTTTGAAAAGTATCACGTGCTATAAAAATTACAGCTTATAAAATAATAGAAACAAGGTTTTGCCTTAACCGAGAAAATGCAAAACAGAAGCTAAGAATGGAAGGAAAAACAATGAAAAATGCTCAAGTATTTCTTCAATAAATCTGTAGGCAGGCAGCTAAAAGTATTAGCATAATAAAGAAAAACTACTTGGGTGCACTGATGTCACAACAATATGACATAAGAAGACAACCTAAGCCACAACTGTCAACATCAGGCAATGAAGCACTTTGCTTACTACTTATTATTGTTATTGATGGGTGAAAACAGGTTTTCGTACCACAGACTCAAGACTTCAAATATTTGAAAGGTTTTCTGGACAATAAGGATGAGGCAGTCAAGAGGCCTGCTAGTAAAAATCTTTTTTGGCTAACAAGGACACAATCATGTTCTTCATAAATTATAATATCACCCACTCAAGTTAGAAAGACTTGGACAAAGGAGTCAAGGAAAAGCTGCCATCGCAGAAAAATAACTTCTCAAAAACAGTGTTTCTAAATGATTTTTTTTGAAGGCCAATTCTTAAAGGTAGACTACCTGGGCATTCATTGTGTGTGTGTGTGTGGTGTGTGTGTGTGTGTGTGTGTGTGTGTGTGTTTAAGCCTCAAACATGACCTAGCAGAAATAAAAGGATGATATGTTAGGAGTTTAGAATTTCAGTCCTAGTTCCATTGACAAATAAATGATTTTGTCATTTTTTGGGAAAATAATTGAATTGAATTTAAAAATGTAAGTGATTGTTAAATACCAGACACTGTTATAAATGACCCAACTTATTTTCTTGACTAGAAAAGCAGAAACAAATCTGTTGAAGATACTGTGAAGATAAGCTAATTAGTACACATAAACATTTAGAAAATATTATACATTTGTTAAATGTTAACTCACAGAATGAAATGAAATCACAGAAACAGAAATGACCCTGAGAAGGCCTGGTTCAGTTTCAAGACTTCATTTAAGCATTCACCAAGACTTTCCCATCTCCCACCTGTTCCCCAAATGGACTATTTCTCTGCACTGTACTTTACCTTGAAGACATGAAATGCCTCAAACTGAATGTTTGGACTTTTATCTCGCAGAAGATTCATCATTAACTTCAGATTCTCTGGCTTGCTGATGTACTTTGTCATAATAGCAAAGTTGTGTCGGTCTAGAATCAGTTCACCTAGCAGCTGCATTAAAAACAAAAATAAAAATAAAGATTTATCAGAGGTACTTCATCTATCTTTTTTTCCTGAAAAACAACAACAACGACGACGACGATGACGATGATGACGATGACGACGACAAAACTCAACACTTCAAAATTGAATGTAACTTTAGTATTTTTGAAGGTGAAGAGCTAATAGTAATACATTAACTCAGACAAAGCACAGAGTTAGGCCATGGAGAGTATCTTTGTGTGTAATTTCGATGCATTGACTAGTTCTTGTTACAATCTCCCTGCAGCTTGCCAAGAGCCATGATGGCATCCAGTAACAAATTAATGGCTTTATCCTTTATCTTAATTATTTTATTTCCTTATTGCCTTCCCAAATACATTTATCTAGTCTGGCCTTTCGGAATGGGTAAAGATAACAAGAAGCATGCCTTATCAACTACAACAACCACTCTCCAACAAAATTTTCTATGAAATTAATTTATATTAAATGAATTCTACTTCCCTGATGATTTTCATTATAAAATCAGAGACATATGGAGCTGCCAAAAAAAAACTGGCCCTGGATATAATAAAATCATACCTAATATATCTAACAATTCAGCAAGTCTTTCAAAATTATATATTTGAAGGGAAAAAAAATCTTTGTGATAAGAAATTAATAATATCACAAAGAATCTATACCCTAAACAACAAGGAATTAGATTCACCCACTAAATTCCAAACTTTATCTTTCACTTGTAAGGTCCAAAGTCCCCTCTATTTAGAGTTTCCTAAATTAAATGTTATCAGAATGTCCTTGTCTTCTCTAAGGCAATGGACATGAAACATTCTTTCCAGTTGTTTAGGCCTTCCTTTATTTTTGCAAATAATGTAATTTATAAAATTTATTTAATAAAGATCTTATGTGTGGCCTGGTAGGTAAATACCCCAATATATGATATACTTTTTTGCTAACACATTTCTACTAAATTTCTTATCAAATCTCTTGTATTCTCTTGGCAAAACATCTATAAATATTTTAATTTCTGTTTATAATCTCAGCAGTCACCCTTCAAATTTCTGTTTAATGTTTTCTGGTTGTTAACATTGCTAAACTACATCAAATAAAAGTGGTTAATGGTGGACATTCTTGTTTTGTTTCTTTTTTAAGGGCAGCATTTCTAGTGTTTCTCTGTTGTATTCAATGTAGAACTTTTTTTCCCCCATGTTAAGGAAAGACCCTTCTCTGCTCATAGTTTTTATTTTTAATCAACTTTGAAATTTATCAATGACTTTTATGCTTCCTTTAATAGCGTCGGATATTTTTCTTGCTACTTTATTGATAATTTTCTTATTATTGAATTATCCTCATAAACATGAGAAAAATCGTAGCCTGGCATATCATTTTATTTTTTCACTGCTGTCTTTGTCTGGTTTAAAAATCAAAACTATACTTGCCCCATAAAAAAAAAAGCAGAATAGACCATTTTTTTCCAATATTTAGGAAAAAAAACTCTGCAATTCTGGGATAATTTATTCTTTGAAGCTTGATAAAAGTTCACCCCTTACACCCTTACAGGCCAAGTTATGGATCAATTCATTAATTATTAGCCTTGTTTCTTCCACTAAAATAGTTTTCATTTAAGTTGTCTAATAGTAATAGCTAAACATTTACATAGTGCTTATTATATGACAGGTACTGTGCTAGGCACTTTACAATTATTATCTCATTCGATCCTCACAACAACCCTGGAAACTGAGGCAAACAGAGATTAAATGACATGCCCAGGGTCAATAGCTAATGAGTGTCAAAACTTTTCTGTTGGGTAAGTTTTGGTAATTCATATGATTTGACAGGTACTTTACTTACTTTAATTAAGTTCCCGAGTTTGTTAACATGTATGCAACACAAATTAATTTTCCCCCATTTAAATTATTTTATTTTGCATTTATTTTCTAGATTCTCTTTTATAATTTTCATTAACTTGTTTATTTCCTTTTCAAAATTAGATTTCAATGGTTTATCAAGTTTAGTACAATATTCAAAATCTTAAAATTCAACTATTTTTTATTTTCAATTTTTAAAATTTCTATTCTTATTTTGATAATTTCTTTTCCCTCTATATTATTACTTCATTCCATTTATAATATATTTAGGTACACATTTAATTCATTTCATTTTGGTACCAACTGACCTCTGAGAAAAGCTTTGGCTGCATCCTTAGTATTTTGACATGGGTTCATTTTGTCATCTTTTGAACAGTATATTATTTTTCTGATTTCCACTCTCACTCAACTGTTTTTAAAAAAGAGATTAATTTTTAGCATCTATGCAGATAGATGCCTTTTAATCATGCTTTTATTTCATCATAATTCTAAAATATATGTAAAATTTCTACCATTTTATCTTTGTAATGGTTACTTTTTCCTGGTATGTTATAGATGTTTCTGAATAATTTACATGCACTTGAGAAAATGGATATTCCCTGCTTTTTCCACTTAATCTTCCCCAGTTATCTAACTCCAAATTGTTCAGGCTTGTGATTTCTTAAGTGGGTTTTGTTTGCTTGATTTATTATAGTCTGATAATGAAGTTATACTCATTGTCAATTATCTTCTGCTCTTTATTGCTTCCAATAATGATTTTATTTCTTCCCTGTTGCTCATCAGTGTTATATATTTTTTATTAATCTTCTCCAGTAGTATCTGACATTTTGGAGGGTTAGGCAGTGGGAATTATAAGGGGTATGTGACAGGACAGAAGATTTTGTGTCTTCTTCCAATTTTTTCTGAATATCTATTTGCCATCCTAGTTGTTGCTTTTTAAAGCAATTCTAAGAGTTTCTGTGATATGTTGTTAGTATACATTTTTTCTGCATCTCTCACATCTATGTTGTCCCTCCACTCATATTTTTGCTTCCTAGTTCAGGCTCTCATAATCTCTAATATTGCAACAGCATGTTAACTGGTTTCTCCCTGCCTCCAGTCTCATCCCTCTCTGATCCATCCTTCATGCCACAGCCAAAAAAAATTTCTCTGAACACAGGTCTAAACATGTCCCAACTGCTGAAAAACCTTCAAAGGATAAAATGCAAACTCCAAAGTTGTTTGAAGTCCTTCCACAATTTGGCTATAATTTTTATTTTATTCCACTTTCTTTCATGCTGTAAACACTGCTGTCACTCCTTCTGCATCACCATCTAGTCAATGGACATTTCCACCTCAATGTCTCAAAGGCATCTTGAACTTGACATGGCTCAAAGAGAGATTATCTTTCTCCCCAGCTTCACCCTTCTTCCTAACTTCCCATCTTTTGTACCACCAACTGTCTAGTTAACCCAGGTTCACAACTGAGGAGTTATCCCTGGCTCTTCTCTTCCTCAAGCCAGAATGTCCATTCAGTTTACATGCCTTGTTGATCGTACTTCCTTATCATCTCTAGCAACCATCCCATTCTTTCTGGCCACCACATTAGTTTGAGTCATCATACTCTCTCACTGGGACTACTGAAAGATCCTAATGTTTGTTTCTCCTGCATCCGTTATCTCTCCTCTCCATTCCATTCTTCACACAGCTGCTGAACTGTAATTTTTAAAACACTGCTCCATTTGCTGGGTGAAAAAGCTCCAATGGCCCTCTCCTGACTCCAGGATAAAACAGAAACCCATTTAGCTATCTCTTTTTTTCAGCCCATTTTTCTTTTTCTTTTTTTGAGAATGGGTCTCCCTAACACTTCTAGATGGAAAGTAGAGTATACATTCACGGTTCCTGTCCCACTGATTGGCATAGCTCTTTTTAGTCCTTTTTAGGCAGCAGCCCAGTGGCCCCCTGCTTCCCGTGGCCCACCATATAGGTGCTGGACTTAGTTTGGACAGCCAATCAGATCGAGCTCTATTGTACCTCAGACTCCTCAGCAGAGATTACAAGCCTGCACCATCACACCTGGCAGGCTGCCTATCTTTCCATATTTATTACACATTACTCCCATTCACACACCCTCTATTCCAGTCAAATTGGTCTACTTGTAGTCCCTTCTACTCAACATTTAATCTACGGTCTCAGTGCTTCTGCACCAAGTACCCTTCAACCCAAGAATGTACTCCCTCATTATCTGTGCCTCTTGGAATCCCTAGCTTCCTTCAGAGCCCTGCTCAAGTACAATTTCCTACATGGGGCCTTTCTAAATCTGTCCAATTGCTAGTATTACTACCTCAAAATCACTTTGTATATAGGTATGTGTTTGCATATGTTATTTCTCTCACGTGGTAGTAGCAATATCTACTTCACATAGACTAGGTTAGTTCTTCCCTGAAAAGGAAATGAAATCATATTTGAGACTTAATTGTTACAGAGAAATAAGGCTCCTTGAGGGAGTCAAAATATATTCCACTTGATTTGGTAAAACAAAATATAACCTTAAAGGCTCTTTTCCAACAAGATGTCTCTCATTCACCTATCAAAATCATTCAATAATTCTTGAAAGACATAACAATAGAAATTCAGTGCCTTGCTGATCATAAACATCAGGTGAGGCATAAAACAGGGGGATGTATGCTTGCCAAGGTATTTGTCACTGTGATGGAGGTCTAAAGCAGAATCCAAGTTGAAGACAATTTCTCCATTTATGATGAGGTCTTCCAGATGTTCCTGCTTGTGGATGGCACTGTGCTGGTTGCATTAAGCTTTGTAATAATGTAGAGTCTCCTGGAAGATACCTGCAACCACTCAAAAGTTTAGCCTGACCATCCACACAAGAAAGACTAATTGGATAAAGAATGTCTATTGTCCAGATTACAACATGAACTTGGATGGATAATCTGTAGAGTCTGTCTGTCAGGAAGCCTATCTGGGGCAGTTAATACAGAATAACAGTGAAATGAACCTAGAGTTGAATAAGAGGAAGAGAACCAATCTGATTGCCTTCAGGAAACTGTAAAGCTCCTTTAACAATCCCAGGTTTCCTGTGGAAACAAAGGCTAATCATTTTCATACAAAAATTCTACTGATGTAGCTATATGACAGCAAGACATG